TCAAGGCTGTATATTGTCACCCTGCTTATTTAACTTATATACAGAGTACATCATGAGAAATGCTGGGCTGGAAGAAGCACAAGCTGAAACCAAGATTGCCGGGAGAAATATCAATAAGCTCAGAGATGCAGATGACACCACCCTTATGGCAGAGAGTGAAGAGGAACTAAAGAGCCTCTTGATGAAGGTGAAAGAGGAGAGTGAGTAAGTTGCCTTAAGGCTCAACATTCAGAAAACTAAGATGATGGCATCGGTCCCATTGCTTCATGGAAAGTAGATGGGGAAACAGTGGCAGACTTTATTTTTTGGGCTCCAAAATAAGCACAGATGGTGATGGCAGCCATGAAATTAGAAGATGCTTACTCCTTGGAAGGAAAGTTGTGACCAACCTAGACAGCATATTAAAAAGCAAAGACATTACTTTGCCAACAAAGGTCCGTCTAGTCAAAGCTATGGTTTTTCCAGTAGTCACCTATGGATGTGAGAGTTGGATTGTGAAGAAAGCTGAGTGCTGAAGAATTGATGCTTTTTAACTGTGGTTTTGGAGAAGACTCTTGAGAGTCCCTTGGACTGCAAGGAGATCCAACCAGTCCATCCTAAAGGAGATCAGTCCTGGGTGTTCATTGGAAGGACTGATGCTGAAGCTATAGTTCCAATACTTTGGCCACCTGACTGGAAGAGCTGACTCATTTGAAAAGACCCTGATGCTGGGAAGGATTGGAGGCAGGAGGAGAAGGGAACGATAGAGGATGAGATGGTTGGATGGCATAACCAACTCGATTGACATGAGTTTGGGTGGACTCCGAGAGTGGGTGATGGACAGGGAGGCCTGGCGTGCTGCAGTCCATGGGGTCACAAAGCGTCGGACACGACTGAGCGACTGAAGTAACTGAACACCTTATGTCTTCTCTCACCAACCTGTTGTTATCCGAAGGGCGAGGACTCAGTGTTAGGGAGGTCGGGTGATCAACCCGCGCTCATGCAGCTCGTGTGCAGAACCCGGATTCAAACCCAGGGCCACGTGCTTCCCGGCTTGTGTTCGCCTCCATCCCACCCCCGGCAGGATTGCAGGGACAGTTCACCCTGTGCCAGGACTACAAGCAATGAACGTGCAGAGTGTCCTCTGTTAGTAGTTCTGAGTTCTCTGTCTCGCTGCTGGAGGCACGGGCGGCCCTGGGGGAAGGGCCAGCGGGAGCCCACGGCCGCTGTCTAGGTGCAGGCTAAGCTGCTGAGGCTTTGGCCTGTGAAAGTGGCTTTGTCCCATAGAATTAGGGGGTCTGTGCTGACTCCAGCATTGAGCACTTTAAACGCTGTGCCTACATTTCAGTGTATGTGAAATGTAGTGTTTGCATTCGCCTGCCATGTCAGCGACGACCAGATGGCAGGTCTTCGGTCTAGAATGCCCAGTTACATTCCCCAGGGAAAACAGACATGCTTGTGAGTTGCAAGGGGGTGGAGGGGGCCCACATTTCTTGCACATGCACTCAGGTTTGTATGATACGGAGTTTGTTTTTCCATGTCTCCTTAGGAACTTATGCTGTGCTATTTGATTAAACCCTCCACCATGACCGACAAGGACATGGAGTCACCCGAATGTATGAAACAGATTAAAGTGCAAGTAAGTGAACTCAGAGCCCAGTTCACGTCGTCCCGAAGGCTCTGCCCGTCGTGTCGTGTCTGTCCTCTGGAAGGTGCGGCCCCCAGACAGGATCAGCGTCTCCCCTCTGCCCTCCCAGACCCTTCCCCGCAGACCACGGCCTCGCTCCCCCTCACTCCCACAGCCCCACAGCCTCCACGCCGTCCATTTCTGTCCCCAGCGCTCGGATGGAACCGCCTGCACTGCCAGCCTGGGGCCAGCCCGGCCTCTCCCGGGACTCAGTCCCCGAGACAAGAGCCGCTGTCAGCCCGTTGCCCCCCGAACTTCTGGTCTGGCTCCAGGGCCTGGGCCGGGCTGAGGCTCCCGCATCTTCCTGGAGGGTGTTTCTCTGCCGGGACCTCCAGTCCATCCTCCAGGCACCCAGTCTTGGTTAATACTTCTGTCCTTCCTCCCTGTTCCCGCCCCCCACCCCGCTGTCGGCCTGCGGAGTCCGTCTCCAGGGCCTCATCCCCCTGTTTGTCCTCATTGTGTCCACTGGGTTAGCTTTTCAGTAAATACCACTGGACCCTGGAGTCCCTTGTCTGTGCTGACCCAGACACACTGGAGCCGGCACAGACCCGGTTCTGTGTTAGACGTCAGGTTCACGCCAGTGCTTCCTATTCCTGAAACGCGCTGCTAGACAACCACAGCTGGGGCCAGGGGAGCATGCTGTTTCCACGCTGGGTTTGCCGCATTCACGTTTCTCCCCATGTTTAGTTGCAAGGAACAGGAGCAGGTACTGTCCTTGTACAGACAGCCGGCTATGAAACATCCTTGTGATGCTGCATGTCTAGCATGTTCGTGTATTTCTGCTTCCAAAATTCAGCCGCATTTGTGTTTGGATTGGTTCCAGGAAGTGATTCTCAGCCGTTGGGTCTCCTCACGGGAGAGGAGCGACCAGGACGAACTTTAACAATTCAGCCTCAGGTTTCTGACCTCACCGGCAGATACCACTGAGCCTCCTGCATAAGCCAAATTCAGGGCGAGGTAGAGTCCTTTCGAGGTAATCGCCCCTTAATGTAAAAGTTGTGAAGGGCACGGCACTCCCGGCACCAGAAAGTGTTAGTGTTCTAAAAGTTAAATTCGCGGAGGAAATCAGCCCTGTGTGGGGACCGCAGGTTCTGTCCTTGGAGTGATCGCTCGCCGACCCCCAGCCTCTCGCCCTGGCGCCTCTGCGGCTCTGGGAGGCAGACTCTCCCAGCAGCAGGGACCTTCTGTTACTCTCCGACTTTACCTGAAACGGTGGCTTCCCAGCAGGCGGCTCCCACTGTGCTTCTGCCACTTGTTACCCACGTCCAGGCTGTCCTGGAGGAGGGCGTTCTGTCCACAGGCCTCAGCTCTCCAGGAACTTCAGCCAGTTGCCCCAACACGGAAAACCCCATGTACTGTCTCCCCAGGATTGCTGTGTCATAAGAAGCATTTTAAAAGAAGTTACCTCGTGATCTCTCAGTGACCTCACCGGCGGGCATGCTGTGTAGAGCACACGACGGTATGGTACAGGCCTAGATAAGAGTTGTATATTGCTTCACCGAACTTGTCATGAAATAAAAGTATGTGGTGAGAAAAATGAATCGAGGTGTTTGGTGAGTGCAATTAATATTTCATAAAACACTAGACGAAGTAAGTAAAAATTACTTTGTCTAAAAAAAAAAAAAAAAAAAGGAAAACAGAATTGTGTAGATGACAATGAAGAGTGTTACCTGAGGGCCAGGAGTGAGTCGGGATGAGTGGGCAGGGCCGGTGAGCAGTGTCTGAGATTCAGCGCCCAGATCCACGCCCCTGGCGGGCAGGCCTCTCCTTGGCACTGACCGCCCCGGAAGCAGACAGTTAAGAACCTTCTTTGGAAGCCGTGAGATGGGAAAACCAAAGCAGGCCTGTTTGCACTCCGCTCACCTTGGTGTCGGAGCTCCTGACGACCAGAGTTCTGCCTGAGGCTGTGTGTTCGTCACACGCTGCTCCTCTCCTCCTGATCCTGCTCTCGCAGCCTGATGGTGAAGCGTGCGTCTCACAGACTTGGCGTCCAGATGATGGAGATCTGTCCTCCACCACCACCGCACCCCCTGGCCGGTAACACCCGTCAGTTTGAAAGCATCTCCAGTATACCTTGCTCTTCATTAGTGACAGGACGAGTTGCTCAGCATTTTTATCATCCACCTGGCTTACTCCAGGCTCCCTTAGAGCAAGACTTGGCTTTGAATCATCACTTTCTTGAAACCTTGACAAGTCAGCAAAAAAATTTCCAGAGCCGCCTCTTTCCTATTTGATTCATCCTTTGTGAGGCCTAATCAGGGCATTGGATGCTTTAATGGTAGACACCCTTGCCATGGATCCTTCACCAGAGGACTGTCACCCTCTCAGCTCTCCAGATACTGTGTCATCAGCTAATAGCCTCGAAGATTGTGGTGACTCCTTGGAATAAAGGCTACAGAAAAGGTGTAGGAAAGCGTGAAGACCACAGTTAAGACTTGTAACTGAAAGCTCCAGAAGGGTGCCTGCAAGCCTTGAGGGAAAGATTCTGCCCCACCGTGTATGGTTTGAACACCAGATAGCAGGCCGTGCACGCTGAGCGTCAGAGGAGGATGCACCAGCCAAGGTTAGATGCAGCTACGGGGTAGATAGAGCAGCCAAGGCTTTGGTTTAAGTCAGCCTCAAAGTCTCCAGCTGAAAGCAGGATCAGCTTGCCTGTGGAAGCATTAGACCTAATACCTCTTTCTTACCTTCTGAAGGAAATGTACAAGATGGCATTTGTGTAGAGTGGGAAATGGCAGCCCACTCCAGTATTCTTGCCTGGAGAATCCCATAGAGGTGTCTGGCAGGCTATAGTCTATGGGGTCACAAAGAGTTAGACATGACTGAGCAATTGAGCCTACGTATACTGTGACATTTGTTTAAAAAAAAAAAATCTCAGTTTCATCAAGATAGAAAAATTGCTCTGTGATACAGCCATCTTTGGCAGTTTCTGGGATTTGCTGCCCACCCCGCTGCATCAGACTTACATGGTTCTTAAACTTCACAGGCCTGCCAGGCTTGCCTAAAAACCAGAGTCCGTCACCAGATCCTCACTCCGCATCGCTTTTCTACCTCTCCCTCTGTGCCAGCACAGGCTCAGCAGCGTCACGCTGACTGGTTTGCATCCAGCTCAACCGCTTACTGACTGTGAGGCCCTAACTTTGGTTTCTTTTAAGTGGGATTAATGTTACCAGCATACACACGCAGTGGAACAGACTGTTCAGCCACAAAAAGGAATGAATACTGACACAGATGGACCTCAGAGACACGCCAGGTGACAGAAGCCGGCACAAAAGGCCACATACTGTGTGATTGCGGTCATATACGCAAGTAGATAACTCAACACAGAACTTAGATTACTGTGGTCACCATAGTCTATAGCGAGGGAGGGATGGAGGAGAAACTGGTTAGTGGCTACGAACTCTCCTTCTGGGGCAATGAAATGTTCTAGGATCAGATAGAGCTGCTGGTTGTACGACATTGTGAATGTACTAAATGCCATTAAATTGTTTAGAGTTTTTATATCTTTGTATTTTACATAAAAATAAAGTTAAATATCATTAACATGATGTGAATCTCAGCTCAATAAAAGAAAGTAAAAATAATGATACAATGTTGCTGGGAATTCCCTGGCAGTTGGTGGTTAGGACTTGGTGCTTTCACTACTGTGGGCCCAGGTTCAGTCCCTGGTCAGGGAACTAAGATCCTGCAAAAGCCGTACACCGTGGCCAAGAATAGTAATGACGTTACTGACCCCAGCAGGTTGCTGGAGAATGCGGTGGGTCGATCCACACGAGCTTCTTTAGCTCAGAGCCTGGCCCATAACACCCTTCAGCACTTTGCAGGTGTGAGGGTTCATTTGCGGGGTGGGGGAGTCCCCACATCCTTAGAAACGTAGTGCACCCCATCCGTGATGGCTGTTATTAGTACTTGTTGATGATGGTTACCATAGGTTGATCCTCTTAGCTACAGTCCTAGAAACTGACCTTTTCTCATCTCAGCTCCAGACTGTGAGGGGATATGGTGGCATCTTTGCCTTCCCTGTCCTAGACTTCCGTCATAAAGAGATTCAAAAAAACGACGACAACAACAACAAAAACCTATATATAACGCTCAGCTCCCACTCACATTAGTTTAATATAGAACATTAAACCAGCGTGAGTAGGACACCATTTTAGGCAGGTTGACCAGGCTCAACCTGGTTAGGCTTCCCAGCGTTTCTGAGCCTAGTATACAGATCTGAAAATTCATTGTTATTTATTGATAAACTTTTTTTTTTCAATCTTCATTTATTTTTACCTTTTCTGTTAAAGCATTTTCATTTTCTCTTTAAAAAAAAAAAATTGCTCTTTACTTGAATGTGGGTTTTCATTTTCTCCTGTGGGAAAAATACTTAGGCTAAAAAGAAATGTTTCTCCTGTCCATCCCCACCTTCATTTATCATATGTATTGGGTTTTCCTGGTTGTAAGAGTAATCCAGCACGATGTAGAGGCTTTGGAAAAATACCTTCATGTGGGTGCGTTTAGTCCCGAGAATCGGCGACTCTCGGGCACGGTCTGGCTGTGCTGGGAACAGGAGTGCTGAGGGGGACAGACGAGTGCCCAGGGCCGCACTAACCACTGTGCTGCCGAGACGTGTGTTTGGGGGACCCCGGGGGGCCGCTGGCACTCATTTGAGGGCGGAGTCGGCGCCAGCACTGACTCTCCTGCAGTTAGCGTTTGGCCTGCAGGATCACGGAGACGACGGATTCTCAGTCCGCAGTTCTTCAGAACTGAGCCACGCTGCCATCTGTTGATGTTGTTCTGATGCTTCACTTCTTTCACTGGGGTAAAACCTGTACACTGTGATTCTGTGAGCAGGGAGTTTGTAGCCTGTGTGCCTCAGCTGGTAAAGAATCCGCCTCCACTGTGGGAGACCTGGGTTCAGTCCCTGGGTTGGGAAGATCCCCTGGAGAAGGGAACTGGCTACCCACTCCCGTATTCTGACCTGGAGAATTCCATGGGGTCGCAAAGAGTCGGACATGACTGAGCGCCTTTCACTTTCGAGTGAAAGAAAAAAGTAAGAGGTTGATTGCTGCCAAAGTCACCTCCGGGATGCAGAGCAACCCTGAAAATAGGGAGTGGGGATCTTGAAAGCTTTGTTTGAAAATCAAGGTCACATGGCACTAGAGAAAGTAGCATGAAATTAGGGTTTCTAATATTTACCAGTTCTTATTTAATCGTTCCACAGTATGTTTCTTCTGTTCATATTTGAATGCCGTTGAAAGCAGAATCCTCATCTTCTCCTTTATCTTCCCTCACGATGGCAAATAACTGGCCCCGTTTCCTTTGTCACCCTGTGTACCGCCAGTCACTTTCTGGTAGCTGGATGGTGGAGGCGACTGCACGGGCTTTGCTATCAAACCTGGTCTCAACCCTGGTTTTGCCACTGACTGCCTTTGGGGAAGTCAGTTTCCTTTCTCATCTGTACGATTGGCATGCTTAAGTACCAGTCTCAAAGGATGGTCTTAGGGATTGAAAGGGAAGAGTAGAAAGTGTGTGCTCTGGTGTGGAGTCGCACATGAGCACTCATCAAATGCAGCTGTTATGATTACTAATATTAATAATCGAGTAAAGAACTGGGCCTGGAAGTGGAATCCTGAGACAGCGTGAAGAGAAAGGGGGAAGGTGGGCATATCCTCCAAACTCAGTGTTCCTCTCATCTTCACCTGCTGGGGGTCTTTATGATTCCTTGAATACCCAGAATAGCAGGCACAGTTGTTTAAGGTGGTCTCATTCTCTAGGTAGCAGGTTTTGTGTTTCTTAAAGAACAGTCCTGAAAGCTTTACAAATACAAAAGTCGGTCTGCCTGCATGTTTTCCCACTGAAGTTGACAGGGCTGGAGCACTGACCAGTACCTCTCTAGAAACAAGCTTTAAGGATCTAAATATCTTTGTTGTTCATTTGCTAAGTCTTCTCCAGCTGTTTGTGACCCCTTGGACTGCAGCACACCAGGCTCCTCTGTCCTCCACTGTCTCCTAGAGTTTGCCCAAATTTGTGTCCTTTGGGTCGGAGATGCTGTCTCATCATCTCATCTTCTGCTGCCCCTCTCCTTTTGCCTTCAGCCTTTCCCAGCATCAGGGTCTTTTCCAGTGAGTCCGGACTTTGTATCAAGTGGCCAAAGCATTGGAGCTTCAGCATCAATCCTTCCAGTGAATATTCAGGTTGATTTCCATTAGGATGGACTGGTTGGATCTCCTTGCAGTCCAAGGGACTCTCAAGAGTGTTCTCCAACACCACAGTTCAAAAGCATCGGTTCTTTGGTGCTCAGCTTTCTTTATCGTCCAACTCGCATCCATATATGACTACTGGAAAAACCATAGCTTTGACTATGGTCCAAAGATGGACCTTTGTTGGCAAAGTAATGTCTCTACTTTTTAATATGCTGTCTAGGTTTATTATAGCCTGCCTTCCAGAGAGCAAGCATCTTTGAATTTCATGGCTGTAATCACTGTCCATGGTGGTTTTAGAGCCCAAGAAAATAAACTCTGCTACTGCTCCCACTTTTTCCCCCTTCTGTTTGCCATGAAGTGATGGGACCAGATGCCATGATCCTAGTTTTTTACATATTGAGTTTCAAGTCAGTTTTTTCACTCTCCTCTTTTACCTTCATCAAGAGGCTTCTTAAGTTCTTCTTCACTTTCTGCCATTAGAGTGGTGTCATTAGCATATCTGAGGTTATTGATATTTCTCCTAGCAATCTTGATTCCAGCTTGTGATTCATCCAGCCCAGCATTTCACATGATGTACTCTGCCTATAAGTTAAATAACCAGGATGACAAGAGACTGCCTTGACATACTCCTTTCCCAATTTTGAACCAGTCCATTGTTTCATGTCTGGTTCTAACCATTGCTTCTTGACCTGCGTACAGGTTTCTCAGGAGGCAGGTAAAGTATCCCCATCTGTTTAAGCATTTCCCACAGTTTGTTGTGATCCCCACGGTCAAAGACTTTAATGTAGTCAATGAAGCAAAAGTAGATTTTTTTTTTTTAATTTCCTTGCTTTCTCCATGGTCCAGTGAATGTTGATAATTTGACTTCTGGTTCCTCTGCCTTTCCTAAATCCAGCTTATACATCTAGAAGTTCCCAGTTCACATACTGCTGAAGCCTAACTTGAAGGATTTTGAGCATTATTGTGCTAGCGTGCGACATTGCACAGTAACTGGACACTCTTTGGCGTTGCCCTTCTCTGGGATCGGAATGAAAACTGGCCTTTTCCACTCCTCCGGCCTCTGCTGACTTTTCCAGATGTGCTGGCATATTCAGTGCAGCAGTTTAGTGTGTGTGAAAGTGAGAGTCACTCACTCGTGTCCGACTCTTTAAAACCCCATGGACTATACAATCTATGGAATCCTCCAGGCCAGAATACTGGAGTGGGTAGCCTTTCCCTTCTCCAGGGGATCATCCCAACCCAGGGATCGAACCCAGGTCTCCCGCACTGCAGGCGGATTCTTTTCCAACTGAGCTATCAGGGAAACCCCAAATATGTTTATTACTAAGTAATTACTGGTACTTTGAAGATGGATTTGGGTTTTGGAAATTAGACATCATTTAGTGCCCACACTAGGCAATAAGATCAGGTGGACAGTATATCAGGTTTGGTCAGAAACAAAGAGTTCTGGAAGCATTCTCCGAAGACGAACTCAGATGTTTTGCTTCCTGGCTAACGTCTGATCACTTGGGTACAAACATCCTAGTGCGCTTGTTAAGAATCATTATGGTTACCTGTCCCAGGTGTCCCCTTCCTCCTTCTGAAGGTGTTAGAGAAAGAAGACAGGCTTCCATTGTGTCCTTTCTGATTCCACACTTGCAGCGGGCAGAGGTGTGTTCTGTGGTAACCCCAACACCCTAGCTCCTCACATCAGGCCAGGAGACGAGAGGAGAACGGACTGACTGAGACATTCCCAAGCCTGTTTGTGTGCATAGACACGCGAAGTCTGGGTCAGGAGACTGCCGATTCCCAGCTCAGATTCTGAGACCTTTTTTCTTTCTTTTTTTTCCTACTGTTGATTGTTAAAAGGCTGTGTGTGTGAAGTCACCTCAGTCGCGTCTGACTCTGCACCCCTATGGATTGTTACCGTGTGCTTTTTCTATGAAAACAGCAAGGTGAAGGCACTCATTACTAAATAAAACTGTAAAGGTCTGAGGCACCATCCTGTCAATCCCCACTTGCTGGATTCACATTGAAAGGTGACTTTGTTCAGCTCCAGTTACTTTATATGGAGAGTTTTCGCCGCTCTGTGGATAAAAGGTACATGCTGCCACTTCATGCTTTAATATGGACCTCAAACTACTAGAGAAGGCATCTTAGTAATAGCGCTTACAGCTTTGAAAACCCAGGGCCGTTTTTATTCATTTCGTAAATTCTTTCACTGCAGTAGGCTGAAACGGGCAGAAAGGAAAGCTGTAGCTTTTTTTATTAACCACAGCTTAAGACATGTAGAAACCTAGCGTCTTGTTCCAGGCAGGAACCCCCAGACGCCCCGTCCTGTCCCGTCCACTCTCAAGCACCGCGCGCGCTCAGCACGAGCCGCTTCCTGGGCCTGGGCCCGTCTGGGGACTAGGGGGGTCAGTGACATAGAAGCCTTGCTCTTCGATCGCGTGGTAGAGCATGATGTACTTGGAAGCCCTCCTCGTCCTTGGGACCACGAACCGCTCCGTGAACTCCTCTCGGTCCAGCGGCTCCTCGCCCTCTGTGGCCAGGACGCAGTTAATGAAGGCAAGGGCGTAGCTGTAGCAGTTGTGGTGATCCTCTTCATACCTTACAAGGGCGAGGGTGTCAAGGAGACAAGGGTTAGCCCTGAGTTGCCCGAGGCCTGCTGTCATCTTAATCCCTCTGCGAGCTGGGCCCCCACGTGAGCCGGCCCCCTTGATGGCAAAGCATCCAGAAGTGTGGTTCTGAGGGACACTTGGCGTCTGGGGCCACTTCTGCTTGCAGTGCAGAAAGGACTCACCGAAACGTCCAGAGTGGTGACTTAGGTTACAACTAAGCGCTGATTGAGGGAACTTAATTTCCCTGAAGTCCTGTGTTCTAGAAGGGGAATTCCATGTCTTAGGATATCCCGCCGCATTTAAGGGCTTCCCACGTGGCTCAGCGGTAAAGAATTCGCCTGCCAATGCGGGAAATGGTGGTTCGATGCCTGGGTCATCAGATCCCCTGGAGAAGGAAATGGCAAAACCCACTCCAGTATTCTTGCCTAGGAAATCCCATGGATAGAAGAGCCTGGTGGGCTATAGTCTGTGGGGTTGCAAAGAGTTGGACACGACTTAGCAACTAAACAACAGTGTCTAAACTTATTTCAAGGAAAGCGTCGGAACAATATAAGTATACAAGCATTACTGTATACCTCTTCTACAGTGACGAGGGGGCGTGGAATCAAGAAGTTAATTTCAAAACAGCTGACACTTAAAAGGTGGGGAGCTTTAGATAGGTTTATGCTTTGAACATCATTTAAATTTTTTTTAAGGAAACATAAGACTGTGGGTTTTGCAGTATGTATTATTAAACGTCTTGTGTGTATTCAGTTGCTCAGTCATCTGATTCTTTGCAACCCCTGTGGCCTGTAGCCCGCCAAGCTCCTCTGTTCATGGAATTTTCCAGGCAAGAATACTGGAATGGGTTGCCATTTCCTCCTCCAGGTTATCTTCCCGAACCAGGGATTGAACCCTCATCTCCTGCGTCTCCGGCATTAGCAGGTGGGTTCTTTACCACTGAGCCACTGGGGAAGCCTATTAAAAACAAGCGTCTAAGAATACCTAGTCAGATAAATAAAGTAACTCGAGTACTAAGTTCTGGTCCTTTTCAAAGCTTGCGGGGTGCTGTGGTTCTCATGTGTAAACGTGTGCTGGCTCATCTCTGCAGAAAACGCCAGTCATTCAACCCCTGCTTCATTCTGTTACAGACCCATCTGCCTGGGTACAGGCTCAACATGAAAGTCAGGGCAGCTCAGCGTCCTCGGGGAGCTGGGATCACACCTGGCGGTGACTGAGGGCCCGGTCCTACCTGTGAGGCAGCCAGGCCCCCGTGGCGGAGAAGTCCTGCAGGTACTTGTCCCACTGGTCCAGCAGTCCAAACAGGCCCGGCTGCAGGAGGGGGACGCTCACACTCTGCTCCCAGCCCACCTCGTCTCGCTGGACACCGTGCACCGTGTAGTTATACACGACTCCTGCGGCCAAAACCACGGTCACGCAGAGGCGTCAGGGGAAACGCCCCCCAGTACCGTCAAGGGTGACTGCACGCAGCAGAAACCCAGGTCGCTGGCACGCCCCTCCTCCGGGGACCATCTGCCTCCCCTGTTCTCAGCACCCGAGGTTGCCCCAGAAAAACAAGACAGTAAGAGGGCCTGGGACAGTCATCTCCAAAGATTCTTGCTGAAGCCCTTTGCTTACAAAGGGGTCTGTCTGGTTTCCTTAAGTGAGCAGCAGACTTCTCCTGACAAAGACCGGTGCACCTTGGCACGCTCACACCAGTCACTGCGTTCAAAACCCAGTCCTCCGTGTCTGCTCACAGTGTCAGCTTTCTCTGATGTTTTTAAAGCAGACCTTTGCAGGCCCCACCACGTGTTCAGGTGCTGTGCCCCCTCCCCACCAGGTTACCCCTGGGGTCCCTGCCTGGCCCCTGAAGTGGGAGCACACAGTGGCAGTGGGCTGAGTATGGCTTTGGGAGCAGAGGGTCTCCTCCTAACACAAAAGGAGGGCTTGGACAGCTCGATCTCCAGATGTCTGTTTCTCCTTGTCTTAAAAAGCTAACAGGACGCTCACAGGTTGGTTATGGTTTGAATGTTTGGAGACACTCCTTTGAGAGTGTTCAGATACTGAGAGTTGTTCGTGACACTGTCGCAATACTTTTGCTCTAGGGACGCTGCTCTCTCCTAACCGGGTATCGTGGGAACTTTTTAAGCTATGAAAACGCACTTACCACCCGTGCTGGTTATTCCCACGTGAAGATCAGACCTTCCGTCATACTCCCTGAAAGAAACAAGTGCGTTCCGGTCGTCTCACGTGCACACGTGTGGCAGCGGAGTTGGTATTTAAAGTGGGCGGAGTGCGATGGGCCTCCCCTCTTGGCTGGCGCCAGAACTCGGCACCAGCAGCCAGCTTAGTGGAAACACCAGGAGAGACACTGCCCCGGGCCCCCTCGGGATTTCCTTGTGCTGGAAGGCCAGCCCTGCTGGAGCAAGCAGCCAGCCTGACGCCCGGCTCTGCAGCAGAGGGGCCCGCCTGGCGGGCAGCTGTGGAGGAAGCTCCTTGTCCTTCCTCCTCGTGTGCTGGGGGGAGCCAGTTCCTCACCGCGTGGGTAAGAGGCTCATGAGTGCAGCTCAGTGGGCGTCTCTCTGAAACGAACGCAGCCCGTTCCTCGAAGCCTGTGGCCACACTCGCTTTTCCTGGACACCCGTTATTTCCTGAAATGATTCTTCACCCCACCCTGACATCAGATGTGCAACTCCAGGTGATTTAAGCTCCATATATGATCCCAGATCATCACTCACTCACCTTGAGATCTTCCCACCTTTAACATGGAAATAGCATAAGCTTCCTAGCAAGCTGGTTGTTAGGGTAAAATGCCTACTGAGTGCTGCCGTGCAGAGGTGTCACATGAACCAGGTCACTTTTAAATGACAGCTCTTTCATCAGACCACAGGTCTGGATGTCTGGTTCCTCATTAAAGCAAGAAGTCTTGGGCTTTAACATGGCCCAAGGACACAGAGGTGGCACTAGTGGTACAGAACTCACCTGCCAATGTAGGTTAGACGTAAGAGACACAGGTTCGATCCCTGGGTCGGGAAGATCCCCTGGAGGAGGAAATGGCAACCCACTCCAGTACTGTTGCCTGGGAAATCCCGTGAACAGGAGCCTGGTAGGCCACAGTCCATGGGGTTACCTAGAGTCAGACACGACTGAAGCAACTTAGCATGCACTCAAGGACACAGATGGCTGCTCCATCTTCTTCAGAGCAGCTCCCCCACCCCCCAACACCCAGAGTCGTCCTGTTGCAGCCACTGTGAGTTTTCTGCGATCCTGCGGGTTCAGAGGTTGAGATGCTGGGAAAGACAGTCTTGAGCGGCTGATCTGGCACTGGCCCTGGATGCATGCTCCCTGTGTGTGCAGCCTCTGTTTCCCCCGGAGTCTCAGGCATCCACTCCCACTCCCGCCCTCTTCCCTTTCCTTCAGCCGCTTCAGTCATGTGACAGATGTCAACTTCAGGCCTGTCATTAGTAGCGAAGGGCCAGGGACACAGCGGAAAATAAGATGAGGTCCCTGCCTCACAGAGTTCACTTGCTTTCAGATAGGACATTTTTAGTTTAACAAGTTTTTAATAGACTGGAAAGTGTTAGAGAACCATGTGACAGGGGCAGGGCCAGGCCACCCCTATGCCATATGACACTTTTGTACAAATTAAGAAAAGGTGACCCTTCTTTTTGTAGATGCAGTTCTGCCCAGGAAGGGTGGAACTCCGGCCGAGTTTTAGTGCACAAGTGGCCAGGTGCCTTTGTGCAGTCCACAACCTGCGCAACCATACATGGCCGCGCTGGGGGAGCCTCATCTGGTTAGATCAGAGCCTCAGCGACTCCCCCAGTCCCTGCTGGCTCTCTCTTTCTGAAGTAGGTGAAGTTGTCTCAGGTGGGTTGTGGGAGCCAGTTCTGAGGGTTTAGAAATAGGATGAGAGGGAAGGAAATAATCTGGAACTTGGTATCCAAGGGTCTGGTAGGCAGGGGGCTACTACTTGGGTTCTGCAGTTCCTGGCCTGAGTGCCTGAGGGGATAGGAAGATGCCTCAGCAGACAACTGGATTCACCACCACCACCTCCTTTCTGCCACTGCCAAGGGAGGCCAGGCCTGTCCCTGTCACTAACACACCATAGAAGGAATGAGTGCTTTCCGGGGGCCAGCCTGAAAGCCTGTCCCGGGCTGTGTCATTTCTGGGGAGCAGGGCTGCAGCTGTTCACTGTTTGAGCTTCACGATTCTGGTTAAGGCAGAAAGGAAGGTTCTATCAGTCACCTTCCAAGCTGAGTATGAAAAGAATGGGATGGGAAGGAGCAATTTGGTTCAACACTGTGCCTGCCACACCTGGGCCAGCTTGGCAGGCCTTATCGCTGACCCACACAATTCTGCAAGGTCGATGGGTCCTCATTTAACAGATGAGGGTCCCAGAGCTCGTCTGAAGCAGAGCAGACAGCAGGGGCTTCTTGGCGTCAAAGCCTGCATGCTCCTCTCTGCATCCCGCAGCCTCCCCAAGGAAGGGTTGGGGTGCAGTCTGTTTTGCCTCTAATGTTGACCTCCTACACATGTCAGCCATTTCATCCCCATAGGAACAGGAAGGGGGTTGATTAAGGATGCTGGTGAACAAAGAAGCACTCGGGTCCCATTTTCTAGCCCCAAACCAGCATGAGGGATTGGGGCGGGGGCGTGATTCGGCAGGCAGGAACCTCGGGGCACTGGACGGTGACGGTGTGCAGGACGCACTTCCCAGAGCTCACTCTGCCCCGGGTCCTCTGGAACCCTGGCTTGAGCAGCGCCACTGCCTGTCCCACCTGTCAACTCAGGACTCGGGGAAGCCGCCATCCTCTCTTCTGACTTCTGAGATGTGTCTGAAAGCAGACCAGCTTGACTCAGTCTCATGCACCTCCCTGGAAAATGGTCTCTAAGTGGCCATTCTTCAGGCTCTCTGCTGGGTACCCGCTTGTCACAAATGTTGCGAACTCACTGGAAGTCAAGGTATTGTTTTGATGAGATTGGCTGCTGGGTCATTTTCTCAATGAGTCTCTTGGCATGAAATCTATGTGTTAAAAAAAAAAAATCTCCCGTCTATCGATTCCTCTCTCTCAAAATTGTATAAGCAGCTTTGACCTTTGTATATTCTTGCACTTATCCCAGAAAAGTATGTTGTTGTTGTTGAGTATGTCAGTCATGTCTAACTCTGCAACCCCATGGACTGTCGCCCGCCGGGCTCCTCTGTCCCTGGGATTTCCCAGCAAGAATACTGGAGTGGGTTGCCATTTCCTCCTCCAGGGGATCTTCCCCACCCAGGGATCTAACCCATGTTTTGTTCGCCTCCTGCATAGACAGGTGGATTCTTTACTACTGAACCACCAGGGGAGCCCCCGGGAACGTACGCACCCTTCTAGTCATGAAACACAGAGGCCTACATCTTAGCATTTCACTCCAAAGCACTGAACAGATGGCCCACCGGATCTCACACTGCAGAGTACATGTTAGAAAAAGAAAGTTGCAGCGACCGAAGCAGCGAGGGGAAACCCGGCAGAGTCCAGGGCAGCACGTCGAACACCGTACCTGAGAAACGTCCCTCGAGTCGGCCTGAGGAGGAAGGAGCACTTTTCCCGATGGCCGTTGGTAAACGGCTCAGAGATGCTGACGGGCGCTTCCTCCAGCCTCCTGGAGCCCACGTCCTGCCCGCAGAGGGGGCAGCGCCTCGGCACCCCGAAGCTGTAGACATACTTCTGACAGTGGTTGAACTTGATGATAGGCTTCCCGGCCTCTGGGCACTGCATGGCTTCCCTGTCCTGAGCAAGCAGCGGGGAGCTCCGCGGACTTCCTTCTCCTCATTAACTCAGCCAGTAAATGTCCTGCGTCCGAGTAACCTGAGAGCTGTGATGTCATTCTGCAGGGCGGCTTCAGGCCAAGCCAGCTAGAGTTAACCTGTAACCAGGCCTCCGCAGTGTCTTAAAGAGCTCGTTTCGTTTGTTCTCACAACGTGTCTCTCTAACCATTGTACGTTTCCCCACAGTCAACATCCGGCCCCTCTTTATCCTCCAAAACCCTACTCTTCTGTGAAAGCTTCCTTAGCTTCCCCCGGCATTCCCTTGCATTGGCAGTGCTGGGTGTGTTTCTCAATGGACATGAGTTTGAGCAAATTACAGGAGATAGCAAAGGGCAGGGAAGCCTGGTATGCTGAAGTTCTTGGGGTCCGCAAAGAGTCGGATATGACTGAGCGACTAAACAACAATATTTGTTTCTACTAGAGCTGTCAGTGTCTGTGAGCTTGTTAGAGTTAGAGATCCACTTTTACTTTTGGTTTTCTAGAATAGATTGTTGTATCTTTTGGGTCTTAAATAAATACATGGGATCCTTACTTTCAAGGATTCCCCAGTGGCTCAGCAGTAAAGAATCTGCCTGCAATGCAGGTGATGAGGGCTCCGTCCCTGCGTCAGGAAGATCCCCTGGAGAAAGAAATGGCAACCCACTTCAGTATTTTTGCCTGGGAAAGCCCATAGACAGAGGATCCTGGTGGGCTACACTCTAAGGGACCGCAAAAGAATCTGACATCACTTAGCAACTAAACAAATCTCTTAACTATTAGGGCTTCCCTTGTAGCTCAGCTGGTAAAGAATCCGCCTGCAATGCAGGAGACCCTGGTTTGATTCCTGGGTCGGGAAGATCCCCTGGAGAAGGGACAGGCTACCCACTCCAGTGTTCTTGGGTTTCCCTGGTGGCTCAGCTGGTAAAGAATCAGCCTGCAAGGCTGGAGACGCCGGTTCCATTCCTGGGTTGGAAAGATCCCTGGAAAAAGGAACGGCTACCTACTCCAGTATTGTGGCCTGGAGAATTTCATGGACTGTATAGTCCATGGGGTTGCAAAGAGTTGGACAAGACTGAGTGACTTTCACTGACTTTGAGGTTATTTTTCTTATGATATTTTATATTGTAGAATGAATCTTGCTCGTTAAAAAACTGACAGTACAGGAGTAGGGGTAGTGGTCACCGAGGTGGTGAGCACTGCCTGGGAGAGGGCATGAAGGGGGGTCTGGGGTCTGGGCTTGAGCTGATTCACCATCTAGGTGTTGACTGTGTGTTGTCACTCAGTTGTATCAGACTCTTGGCGACCCCCCATGGACTGAAGCCCACCAGTTTCCTCTGTCCACGGGTTTCTCCAGGCAAGAACACTGGAGTGGGTGGCCATGCCCTCCTGCAGGGGAGCTTGCCGACCCAGGGATCGAACCCAGGTCTCCGCCGTGGCAGGTGGATTCTTTACTCTATGAGCCACCAGGGAAGGTGTTGTTTACAATACTGTTTCCTGACAGTATTGTTTGTAAAAATTCATCAAACTGTACATTTTACTCTGGGCAGTTTGTTACTCTTCAGCTTTCAAAGGTTTAAGCAACTGCACAAGAAGATGGAAAACAAGGTGACGTCCAGTGTTTCTCATGACAGGTTTGCACCCACCATATTGTATTCCCAGGAGAAAACTAAAAGGCAAAACAAATGAATATTTCCATGTACTTTTTTTCAAACCCTAGTTATAACTGTATACTGGTTTTTTAAAATTTTTATTAGAGTATAGTTGATTTATAATATTGTCTTAGTTTCAGTTTAATCACAGCAAAATGTCAGTTATACATATATTAATACACATGTCCACTCTTTTTTTTTAGATTCTTTCCCCATATAGGCCATTACACAGTATTGAGTAGAATTCCCTGCACTACACATCAGGGATAGTTAAATAATTGTTAATTGTGTTTACTGTATACTGTTTTGAAATTCATGTTTTTCTCTCATCTTGGAAACTTTCTCACAGTATCCGTTGTATGAGTCCAGCTCAGCATATCAGATACCTGCAGAGGATCCCAAAGTCTGGTTGTGAGACACTTCACTGAGACAGCCCCCTGCGGATGACTATGGTTTCAGAGAAGAGGGAAGGCCCCCAGAGAAGGTGTCATGGCAGGTAAAAGCGCTTCCTCATTGCATTCAGATAACTTACAGCATGCTGGAATGCAGAAAAGCACACATTCAGTGTAATAATGTGGAATGATCATCAGACTCACAGAAATAAAAAAGGCCTTAGAAATAATTCCAACCAACCTTCTCCTGTTACAGCAAAGGCAGACAGGTTATAGCCAGACACCTAGCTCAGGTGACAAGGCTCTGAGATTGTTCATTATTAATATAAACCACCACTGTTGTTCACTGAGAATATTCTCATCTTCAGGACACCAATACCAAGAGGTATTTTTAGCCCCGTGAAAAGAAACGGGGGAACTATGCCTTAATAAATGTTTTTTAATACATTAGCATTCTTTTTTTTCCCCTTAATCATTTCTTGATCTTTTCAGTAAACAAAACAGGGTAAGACATCACAGGGTAAAAAACTCACATGCAAAACAAAGATTAAATGCTATTTGCAGTTCAAGCTCAGGACTAGTGTTTTTACTCAACTTCTTCTGTATTGCATCTGTATCTCTTTTCCTCCACACTGAAAATCCCACTTGACACAATCTCGAGAGTAACAGGAGTAAATACTACCACCTCTCTTCACGATTAGGGGTTTTATTTTTATTTTTGCAATATTCTCCCCGTCTTTCTCTCATGTCCTTACATGGTTGGCCCGAGATTGTCACTGTCAGAGCATCTGCCGTTGTAAACAATCGTGTCTCCCTTCTGACCCTCGCTGAGGCTTAGTCTTATGCAGAAACTTCTCTTCATGCGCACTGTTCATCTTTCCTTCATCACTCTCTAGTAATTATAAGATTGTCTAAAGTTCATTCTAGAAAAGATTCCATAGGAAGAGCTCGTAGGAGGAATATTGTGAGTTCTTGAATAATTCATCCCTGTTCTTTATACTCGAAGGTCGGTTTTGCTGGATATAAAATCCTTGGCTCACAGTTTCTTTAATATCTTATTCCGTTTTCTCCTGGTATAACACTGCTGTCAAAAGTTTGATGACAGAGTAACTTATTTTCTTTCTCATATAAGTCATGTGTGCTTGTCTGCCAGTATGCCCAAAGGATATTTTTTTCTTTTAAAGATCAATAGATTTACTATAATATGTCATGGTATTATCTGTTCGGATTGACTTATTCAGGCTTGTCTTGGAGGAGGAAATGGCAACCTACTCCAGTGTTCTTGCCTGGAGAATCCCATAGACAGCGGAGCCTGGCGGGCTACAATCCGTGGGGTCGCAAAGAGTTGGACGTGACTGAGCACAGCTCAGACTTGTGGCATGTTCTGTGTATTTATTTTTTTAACTTACGAAACTACTTTTTAAAAGCTATAGTCCACTTATAGTTATTACAAAATATTGGCTATATTCCCGTGTTGTACAGTATATTCTTGTAGCTTTTTTTGAGGGAATTGGTAAAAATTGTTCTAAACTTAGATCAGGTAAAAACCATGGAATTGTACGCTTGAAATGGGAGCATTTTACATGTAAATTTTACCTGTGCTTTGTCTAGTTTCCACACAAGGAATCTTAGATGTGAGACATGTGAACTCTTAATTGTGGCATGTGGAATCTAGTTTCCTGACCAGGGATTGAACCGGGCCCCTGCATTGGGAGTGCAGAATCTTAGCCACCGGACCCCAGGAAAGTCCCTCATCATGGTTTTGATTTGCATTTCCCTAGTGACTAATGATGTTGAACATCTTTTCACATGCCTATTGGCCTTTTGTGAGTATAAATTGTTGAGTTTATAATTGTTCTTTATATATTTTAACTTTTTTGGTACTTTTGTTCTTTATATATTCTGGAGATATATATATACACACATATATATATCCTATATAAATTCTAAATGCTGTCTTTTTTCTTTCTTGATGATAATTAAAGCACAAATTTATCCATTTTCTTCTTTCATTTCTTACCCTTTTGGTGTTTCATTTAACAATCCATTGCCTAATCCAGTGTCATGAAAATTTGTGACTGTACTTTCTTCTAAGAGTTTTACACAGGATCATACCATTTGCAGATAAAGATAGTTTTACTTCTTCCTTTCCAGTCGGAATAGCTTTATTTCTTTTTCTCACCTAATTGCCCTGGTGAGAAACCCCAGCATACTGTTAAGTAGATGTGTTACCAGTGAGTATCCTTTCCTTGTTCTGGATCTTAGAGGGAGACCTGCCGGTCTTTCACCATTAAGTCTGATGTTACCTGTGGGGTTTGGGTAGAAGACCGTATCATGTTGAGAAAGTTCCTTGCTCTTCCTAGTTCTTTTGAGTGTTTTTATTATGAAAAGGTATTCAGTTCGGTTCAGTTCAGTCACTCAGTCGCTGTCCGACTCTTTGTGACCTCATGAATTGCAGCACGCCAGGCCTCCCTGTCCATCATCACCAGCTCCCGGAGTTTACTCAGACTCACATCCATTGAGTCGGTGATGCCATCCAACCATCTCATCCTCTGTCGTCCCCTTCTCCTCCTGCTCTCAATCTCTCCCAGCATCAGGGTCTTTTCACATGAGTCAGTTCTTCACATCCGGTGGCCAAAGTATTGGAGCTTCAGCTTCAACATCAGTCCTTCCAACGAACACCCAGGACTGATCTCCTTTAGGATGGACTGGTTGGATCTCCTTGCAGTCCAAGGGACTCTTAAGAGTCTTCTCCGACACCACAGTTCAAAAGCATCAATTATTCAGTGCTCAGCTTTCTTTATAGTCCAACTCTCACATGCGTACATGACCACTGGAAAAACCATAGCCTTGACTAGATGGACCTTTGTTGACAAAGTAATGTCTCTGCTTTTTAATATGCTGTCTAGGTTGGTCATAACTTTCCTTCCAAGGAGTAAGCGTCTTTTAATGTTATGGCTGCAATCACCATCTGCAGTGATTTTGGAGCCCAAAAAATAAAGTCTGCCACTGTTTCCACTGTTTCCCCATCTATTTGCCATGAAGTGATGAGACCAGATGCCATGATCTTAGTTTTCTGAATGTTGAGCTTTAAGCCAACTTT